CTTATTTGTGTGGGCCTCCACAACTATTCAGTGGGCGTTATGGACCAACCTAGGAGTCCGCATCAACTCAATGGCAATGAGTTTGCTTTTGGGTTTACAGCCAAATGGATAGAAGAGCCATACTCTCACACCACCACAGAGACAAGTTACTTACACTAGGACTCAATGGATTCACGCTGTTTTATTCCTGTGAGCAATAGAATTATGTATATTGATGATTACTTCCTCTGGACCCACTCTCAGAAATAGAATCCCTTTGCTGCAGTGGGTTATGGCTCTTTTAAGGCTCTTGCATATAACCAAAATGTTGACTGAATGGTGATACCCATTTAAGAGAACTCTGTGTTACAGACTCATGCTGTCTTTCAGTATTCTGCTTGTGGTGTTGTTCATGAATAGCCTTCCATTAAAGGACATTAAGACTGTCTCTACTGTTAGATTATTTTGTCTATCCTTCTGCATTCAATACAAAATAGCGACCGAGGAGAATACATGTATATTTCACAAAGTACAGATAAGTGGGACCATGCATGTAAAAAATACTAATAAAGGAAGCACAATACTTAGTGCTGAGAATGAATTTGTAAGGTGCATTTTTATTTAAAAAACAGAATAGTACAAAATGACAGGTTAGAGTGGACGTTGTAAGATAGTTATGTAAAAAGGGTGTTGGACTCTTGTCATAAAAAGCATCAAAGTTGTTAGCATTTTTCAATGGAAAACATCAAAGGATTAAGTGAGCAGTACCACTTAGATTGCTCTCATATTTGACAATTAAAATATTATTGATAGATGTCTCACAGCATCAAATTATTTTATTCTGCTGTGTACACTAAAGTCTTTTTAGTAACTTTCCCCTTCTTAGTTTCCCCCTCAGTGTGAGTTTCAAAGACATCTTCTTTGTGCTCCTTCATATTAAATGGAATAGAAATCATCATTTCTGCATAGGAGATTAGATTTAACTATTTTGAAACAAAGTAAATACTTCAAAATCAAAGGTTTGAAAAAAATAATGAGTGTGAATCTATATCAAGCTTCAAAGGAAAAATAATCTAAATAAAATTAGAATTGACTGACTGCAGGGTGGAGTATGTCTTACACAGCCTTTCAGTCAGCCGCACTGCATCTTAATTAGTGAGCTAGGTATAATTAGGGAACAACGAGGAGTTAATTCCTAACTTGTCTAGTGTGGATTGAGACTGCCAAGATGCTGACTGGGAAACACCAGTGCTGTTCGCTTCCTGTCGAACAGCACACCTTAGTTTTACCTTGAGAAGAGGATGCTATTTCTCTTTGAACAGAATTATAAAAATTTTTCCCTGAGGTTTTTGTGATGATTTATGGAATGCTATAAATAATGCCTCATATCAAAATCCAATAGAAAACAAATTTTGTAGGCATGATGAAAAGAAATGAAAACTAGCAAAGTGTAGTCATCTTTAGTGAATATTTGGATCTATTGTATTTTGAGGAATTTTTTTTCTTAGAGTTACAGTCTGATATTGGTTATTAGCAGAGTGTTGAACCATTGTTTCACCAAGCCCTCTTATTAATACATTAAAATCATTCAATATAATTTTTAAAGAACTGGAATATATTATTTTAGCTCCTTTCATTTTATCGCTGGCAATAATATTGCCAAGGTGTTAAATTAGAGGTAAGAGATTTTTTAAAGCTATCATATAATGGTGCATTACTGGCAATTCTTAGCTTAATCACGTTTATTGTACACCTGAGTTTGCATAATTGGAAACTGAACATTTCTCATAGCTTGAGAGCTGTGGTTGCTTCTGTATAAAATCCAGCTGGAAACATCTTACTGGTGTATTTTATTCTTTTATAAGCAACCACCAAATGGCTACTTTATGATCACTCAAAAAAATTCTTTTTGGTGAAACATAAAGGGATTGATCATTTGGACGATTAAGTTTTATATATATATGTATGTGTGTGTTTATAGATATATATATATATATTAAAACAAGATATCTGAAAAGCACTTATTGAGAATGCACTTTGCATAATTTATATCACAGTTAGATATAGTCTTGCTCTAACAATACTTTCATTATTGATTAGAACAAAGTCTCCTGACTCTTTTTCCTTATGCGTTTTTGCCCAATATGTCCTGCCATGGGAAAGAAAGAAACCAGCCTCGCAAGGTCTTGCAAATGAAATTTCAAAATTAAAGTTTGCATAGCCCCCCAGAGCTCCACTGTCACTCCCAGCAGAGAGATTCTCCAGCCCGGGAAGCCGACATGTCCCTGTTCTCTTTCCGTCACCAGATGCCCTCAGTGTTTGCGCCTCCCCCCACCCCACCCCCCGCCACACACACACTCTTTTGATTACAACACAATTCTATTTGGTCAATTAAGCCTAAAGATTTCTTAATGATCCTTAATGATTTCCCAACTCTGAAAACTTGAATTTATGCTCCCACTAACCGAACACTCTGCTAGTTTGTTCCACAATTAAAGCATGCTTAAGTATCTACCTGATTTAGTGAACCTTTTGATCTTTCCCGAAATTATACTCCTGGTTTCTAGCAGATGTGACAAATTGTCCCTTACTTAGGCATTGATTTATGTGTTCAGTCACCCAAAATCGTCCATGGATTCCAAGCACCAGGGATTCAGTAATGAAGGAGCAAGGTCTCCACAGATGTTCCCATTCTTCCTCGCACCACTCTGCGGAAATCTCACTCTCGAAGCTCTTCTTCTTAAAGAACTTAAAGAAAACAATTGGTGCCAACTTGATTCTGCCATAGGGGAGCCCCCTAGATTTCGGAGTAGACTGTGCTCCAGAGTCTTCAACGGTTAGCTTTGTTGGAAAGAGATGCCCAGGTCTGTTTTCCTGGGCACACCTGGGCAGACTCTAACTTTCCGTTGAACGGTCAGTAGCCAAGCACACTAGTGTTTACACCACCCGGGGACCCCGAGATACATTTAGCTTGAGACAAATGCCCTTTTATGCTTACAAATGAGCAAGTCCACAATCTCAAACTCTTTACCTTCTAAGAGGCTCCAATCCATAGAAGAAACTGACTATCAGCAACACACACTCCTGCAAAGAGAATAGCTATAAGTATAACAACAATTAAATAATTTCATGTACTAGAGTTTATCAAACTACAGAGTCTGGGTTATCTTAGGAAAGAGTTCATTATTACTGATTTAACTCACATTTGTATTTAAGTCAATAGCCTAATTCCAGTTGCTATGTAACAAAGCTACAGAACAACCTGTAAGCATTTGTTAAAAACAGCAGCAACAACAAAACAACAAACCATTGTGGTGTTTTAAATACTTTTTGGAGAATGGTGGTTATTTACACTGTCCTGCCACTCTACAAGATAATGTGATAAACCTCACAGTGTCTAAGTAATTGAAATGTACTGTGATTTTGCTACCTCAGGCTAAACTGGATTTCTATGCTCTAAAGGGCTTCTTGAGTGCAAAGTGCAAGTACTCTCCTTTTAAAGTGTCGTATTTGCACTTGTAGATTGTTTTAGTACATTCCAATTTGGTGGGGAGTATTGACATAGATTTCAAGGATGGGGGAGACTTCCTGCTTTTTACCGTGTAACTAGATTCGGATAACTCTTGAGGGCCTTCAGCACACTGTGGACTGTCTTGCAGAGACTGAGCTGAGTCTCAGGGAGGACCCCAATGAGCCCCTTTGTGCCTGTGAGTCAACGGGCACTTCTGAAAACTTGGTGTCAGAAGGATCACGGAGGGGTGGTTTCCTTGTTTCTGAAAGATGCAAACAATATTGGTTCCTCCATTGTTGAAGTTTCACTGAAATCCTCAACGAAGATGATGGTACCACTTGATAACAATGCCAGGAAGTGTAACAGATACTACCGCAGTATTCTTTCATTGTCTGCTCACGAATTCCATTATCATTTATGTTGTGTATTTAACAAAGTAGTGCTCCTCCACAAGCTTTGATGTAGACAGAAAGTACACTTTCGGGTTAACAGCATGATTTGCTTCTTAATCACCAGCCACCCAAATGAAACCACGGCTATGACTGCCAGTGAAGTGAATTCCCATGACTGAGTGTATAGTAAGCCCAGTGGGGACAGAAAACACACTGAGCTTCAGAAGTGATGCATCAGATGTGACAGAGTTACTTTAATGAGACTCATCCATTATAACTGTTTCTCAACCAGGGACAAACATTTTAACCTTCCTTTGGGATGGACCCAAGCCCTGGCCATTCATTGCATTCTACCATGTGCAGTGACAATTGTGGGAAATGAACAAGGAAGTAGAACCTTTCCTGTAATAATACAGAATGATTAAGAGGACATAAAAAATCAATTGACTAATCAATAGTGTGTAACTGCTCCCATGCTAATCAGCCATTAAGTTGTTTAAACTAAATACTTCCAGTTTCCTCAATTATCGAACTGATTTACAGAACACGGTCAAGAGTATCAGAGTGCAGCTGTGCTAGATTCCAGATCATTGGATAGTGAGGAAAAACAGAATCCGTTTTCAGATGATTTTTTTTTTTGTAACTAGATTCGGATAACTCCTGTAGGGAGCTATAATGGGTGATGCCCTTTTATTTCCAGTCATTGGTGGACACATGCGCTCTGTCTCAATGCTAACCTGCATTCTAGCTTGAGAATATGGGTGGGGGCTTATTTGAAATCTGGAGCAAAGTTGATCAAAATAATGAAAGTAACAAGCCTGTCAGGCATGGGCAGGCCTTCCAAAGGGGCTTTTGAACTTCATCCATGGGGAGCAGCAGCCAGTTCGTCAGCATTCAAAGCGGCCAAAAGCATTCTGACAACACGTTCTGAGTCGATTACTACCGTCTACATGTCTGCTGCCAGCAGTCCTAGTCTCATTCTAGTGTCAAAACTATTTGTTAACTTACCTTTGAAAAAGTGGAATGCCGTTGTGGGGATTAAAAAAAAACAACACTAAGAAATAACTTTAAGCAGGAGGAAAAAGCTTTTTGATTGATATGTTTTCCTTTGCTGGCAGACCAGAGCAAAGGTTTTGTGAACATTTAAAAGATGACAAAGGTGAAGAACCCCGGAAGCGGTTTATCTTGAAGCGCGATAGCTCTAGTATTGATAAAGAAGACAATCAGGTTGGTTCTCAAGTTGGAGAGTGGCTGACGTTGTTGCTTTGGAAGGTGGGCTGACTGATGTTCTTGTTCTTCTGTTGCCCCCTCTCCCCTCTTCCTACCTTCCCCTTGCCTCTGACACTCCTGCCTCTCTCCAACCTCCTTGACCCCTGGCCTCCCCTGTTGGCATTCAGTGGGTGGCAAAAACGAATTGTTTTTTCATGTCCTGGTGGCTTCGCAGTGGCTCTGTGTTGGGCTGCATGGGTGGTGCTTGGCGCAGTTCCTGCCGCATGTCTTGGGTGGCGGTTGGGATGCTTCAGGCACTAAGCTGTTGGGAAAAGCTTTGTCAGTCGCATTTCCAGATGTCTGTGTAACTATGGCAGTCGTTCCACTCCCTACAGCTTTGTCCTTCAGTTGTGCACAAATTGAGCTGGATTATCAATACGGACCGATGACCAACTGGTGTAGCTGTAAAGAACAAACCTTGTTATGGTGAGGACAGGTGGATTTTGCAACTCTCCTAAAATAAGTCTTCACGGAAGAGAATTGAGTTCATGTTTTAGTCTCCCGCCCCGTCTTCCTCCTATGTTATCTTGTTCATGTAAACTGTCTGCTTGTTTCGCATGAACTGTAGCGGAACTTTCTCCTTCTTTGTATTTTGCGTGTGACAAAACATGATGTTGTTCTAGAGTAGCCACATTCACGGTCCCCGGGCAAGGACCGAGAGTTCACAACGCCTCTCCTCTAGGTCGGTGAGGGGAGTCTCATGGGTGGAGGGTGATGAAGAATGATTCTAAATAAATGGCAGAAGAAAAGGAAACATTTAAACCATAAAAGGAATAGTAGAAAGCCATATAAATGTCAGTACAATTTCTAAATGCCATGACGCCCTGTGCCTTCAAACAATCAAAATAGCTCCTTTGAAAATAACTTGGTTTTAGAATCCTTCAAGGTAAGACAATAGGCATCTCACTCAAGTTATTATTTTAATTATTTCCAGTGAGTCACGGAAAGTCAGTATGTGCATCTCTGATGCACTTAAAAAAAAAAAGTTCATCATTTGTATCTCATTTCCACCCACCAGCACACCATCACTAAGATAAATTGTGGCTCTGCTGCCTATGAGACATGGACCTGTGTCGTGTGCATAGTGGGTGTTTGTCGAGCGGATGGCTGAATGTGGTTAGCGCAGGGCGTTTGGTGAGGAATGGCTCCATCCACCAGGAGGGGACTTGAGGTGCAGGCAGGGGTTCAGAGGAGAGGATGAGAAGGAGGAATCCTCATGCTGGGTTCTTTGAATTGTTGCTTTTGTTCTCTTGATCCTGGCCCCCAATCTCTACCATTTTCAATTTAGAGTCTTGGGTCTTCCTTCTTATGACAGACACAAGCCATAGGGGCAGTGGATGAGTCAATGAAAGTCACAAATTAAGATGTAGAGAAAGAGAGCCTACCAATTCCCTTTGGCCCCCAAATCTATTTACTCACGTGGTTTGTTTCTCCAGTCCCCAAAGTTTCAAAGCCATGTCTTCCCTGAGCCACTTTGATCCAGTCTGCTTCCTTAAGAGGACACAGATTCACAGAGTTTAGCCAAGGAGACAGAATTCCTCATCCAAATTGGCTAAACGCCTGAGGCGCTTGCAGGTGCTTTTGTTCCTAAAATGTCTTTGCTGTTTCCAGCCAACTCCACGCACACACATGCACACAGAAAGACACACACACACACACACACACACACACACACACACACACACACACACACACACACACACACATTATGTGTACCCCTCTATGGCCTCCTTATGGACCAGAGGGCTGGAGACTTCTCGTGCTCCCTTTGTTTAAGTCATTTCATAGTCTCAGCAGACAGGTACTTAACTGTAGATTTCTAACAGCTCGACTTGGATAACCCTCCCGATTTCTTTTTTCTGTTCAGCAAAACAGAATGCATCCCTTTAGAGATGACAGACGAAGTAAATCAATTGAAGAGAGAGAAGAGGAGTATCAGAGAGTGAGGGAGAGAATATTTGCACACGATGTGAGTAGTTGTTTTAATTGCCTCTTTAGTGCGGTCCTTCCATCAGCAGTAGGGCACCCTCACTCCCCAGACAGTGAGCTGGCAGCAACTGAGGAGGCTGGAGCCAGAGAACAAATCACATGGCCACAAACTAGAGGTGTTCGTTTCTGGAAGAGCCCCGGTGCAGGGAAGTGATGGAAACCTAGCCAAAGGTTCGGGGTGTGTTTCAAGGTTCTGATCAGTGTGGGTACATCGGTATCCTTTTGATCAACAAAATAAAACATAACCTCAGGGAGACTTACAGCGAAACGTTCACCTCCATATTCTGTAGCAAATGGGCTCCCTGCTGTGGCCTTTGTAATGTCAACACGTGCAAAGAACAACTTGCTGAAGAGGAAGAGAGCCGTTTGCCAAGAAAAGAATCATGGCACAATGTGCTGTGTTAACATCCCAACCAAGACAATCTATTTTGTTTTCTTTTTTGCTGTTGTTGTTCACTGTGACCAAAAGAAAACATTATTGAAATCAATAAACACTGAAAGATGAGCAACAACAACAAAAAACCCTAAATGCAGGAATTCAGTGCACGGAAGCTGACATGGTGAGCTATTGCTCAAGCATTTCCATTCTATGAGCTCATGTGGCAATTTCTAAAATGTTGTGCGTCTTTTTCTCTGCAGAAGTAGAAGTGGGCGCTTCCCTGTGTAGACTTTCTACTGGCTAACTCGTCCAGCCTTAGCTAAGTCAGTTGGGGTCCCTGAATTCTGTTGAGATTTGCTCCTGGAAGCTGTTTAAGTTCCCCCTGAATTCCATTAGTTAGCCTGGATCACCACTGCTGTGGCAAGTGGTTTCAGGCCCAAACTAGTTTATCTGGTCCTTCAGCCAGTTCAGAATCCTTGACCGTGAAGCCTTGAGGGGGGAGGTCAGACTCCTCCAACACTACACTTCCTCCGTGGTTTTACAGATTTGTATGATTTCTTCTTGACCATTCTTTCTCGAACATGCTAAAATACACTCCAAGAGTTGACTAGATCTGTCCCAGAGCTCTGGATTAGGAGAGGATAAAAAAGAGGAAGGAAGTAGCCATGTTTAGAGATTGTATTTTGTGCACGTGTGTGAATGACATAGATTGATATTATGATCAGAAGTATAGGTGATGGTAGAGTTTCAATTCTCTTTTCTGGATAAAAGCCTGAAACAGTCCGAGGATCTGTTCTTGATAGAGGAGGATAAAGATCTGACCTATGTAGTATAGTCTTTCTGATGGCCAACTCTTCCAGCTTTACTAGTTTTTCTGGAGTCTCCTACAGGGGCTATACCATGGCCAAGGTCTTTTACTCTGGTCCTGTGTTTCCCCCTAGAGACACAGACCATTGATGTTCCCTGTATGCGAGTTAGCTGTTCCAGCACAACAAACTATCCCAACTTTTGACAGCTTAAAACTACAAAAACATTACTTCATGGCTACCGTGGGTCAGGAATTCGGGGACAACTTAGTTGGTAGTTCTGGCTCAAGATCTTTCTTGAGGAGGCTGCCCAGATGTCATGAAAAGGCTTAATTGATAGCTTCTAAGCTCACTCACATAGCTATTGGCAGGCCTCCGTTCCTTACTGGTTATAGGCCAGAGATCACAGGCCCTCAGTGAGTGGGGCTCTCCACACAGAGTTTGTGTGTATTCATAGCACGGCAGCTGGTGATCCAAAAACTAGAGAGGGACCAAGATAGGAACTATACTCTGCTTTACAATCTAATATTGGATATGACATCACTGGCTTTTGGCTGATTTCTATTGGACCCAGAGGAGAAATCTGGTATAACATTAAAAGAACTGCACGAGGTTATGTAGAACAAGAGATGAGACTATTAGGGGTCACTCTGAATTAGCAATGTACTACTATATCTCAATTAGCACAAACATCAAAGATACAACATAGCCATATGAATGTCCTGGAATACATAAAGTGACAGATCTTCCTTAACATTTACAGAAAAATAGCACACTTTGGGGAGCATCATCTTCTAGCTTCCAGTTTCCCAAATGGCAGTGACTGCTGCCCAAATTGTTAAGCTATACCATATGATAACTGAATTATCATAAGTAAATCATGAAGCAAATACATGGAATCCAGCATAAGGAAACTGCATTACAAAAGTCTCCTTTTCTATTCCGTCTGTCCTTTAGGTTACTTTAGTTTCTTTGTAATTTAAAAATGGAGTTGATGAACCAGCTTTTTTGGGCAGTCTTTATTTTATAGTTTAGTCATTCAAACAGGTTAAAATATCAATACACTTCAGTAGAATTTCTTTGTTTGCTACTCAGGATAACAATAAACAAGGCAAAAATCTTTTCCATTGATTATTTGTAGTTTAGAAGAAGTCAGAGTTATTTTTAAATTAGGAATGTTATGAAATATTTTTGCAGGTATCTCAGTGTCTAAGGTGTCTGCTTGTGTACCCATGTGTGTGTGCACATATGTTTGTGTGGATGATGATGGATGTAGGCACAGTCAAAATATGGTATTGCTCTGGGAGTGTTCTAGAAGAAAATCATCTCAAATATACATTCAGACACACTGATTAGTTTTCATATAATAAATATATTTTAAGTAGTATTGAAACATCATATGTCTCTTATTTTCTTTGACAAAAATTCTAGTTTTGTTTTTTTTTTTTTTTTTGCAAAAAACCTTTGAAAAGGTTAGCTTAGGTCGATAAAGCAATATATTTGTTGAAACCCTGTTTTGCCCTGAGTGTGATTTCTGAAATACTTATGTATGTAGAAATAGGACTTCAGGGAGGGCCCCTGACCACAGGCTAAGACTCTTCTTCAGTAAGAACTCCTGAGAAGAGCATGGGGTGCCATAGCAGTGGGGGATGGGATGTGGGCGAGAACTGTGCAAGCCATTAGGCAAAATCATTTCCCCTTTTTAAAAACAATGAGCTCTTTCTATCTGAGAGTGCATATAAGTGACAGCTTTGAATATAGCACTTAATTGCTGTGACAATTTTATCTTTCTCTGCTATTAAAATTTTCAAGTTATTAATATTACTTTTTAAAGAAGTTGATTCTCATCTGTACCTGAATAGCAACTTCTTAGCTTCTCTGGGCAGAGGGATAATGGATTATTTGGGGGATCTTTCCCTAAAAATTAGCATCCAATACTCTTGAGCTATTTGGGGGCAAAGTATCTTTGCCTTGTCCGTGACTTACTCTGGAATTCATAAAATGTGGGCTTTCCCCTTAACTTCCTAGCAAGCACTGTTCGATGAATAAGGCTGAAGAGGTCGGAAGGGCCAGTGTGTCTCTGATGGACTTCTTCCGAGAAGGAATTGAGTCTTAGGCACTCCTATACCCAACCAGAATGTTGTAGATGCACATTGACCTCCTTACAACCTCAAGAGAAGTAGCCAAATCCTGAACTCATACGTCCATCTGCGCCAGTCTTCCTTCCTTCCACCTGCCATGACCGGCCTCAAGTTGGTAGGAAGTGAAGTCGCAGTAGGATGTTCAGGTGGCTGTAAAAAGATCTTCACAGGAATGATGTCAATGGCTTATCCTTTGTATCTAATTCCCTGTTTATGTGCAAATATCAAAATTTTTAAAGCTATTTCGGCAAAGTCTTTATCTTAATTTGTTTTGTTTCTGTGCACTCCGTCTTCATGATGTATAGCTGATGCGTGGAACTTAACAAGGACAAAGGTCTGGAGATGCGTCATGTAAAGCTCAGGACTGCATCTCTGGATTTAAGGATCAGCTAATAAAAGCTTCTTCTTATTTCTTTAGTTGTATTTCATCCTCACACAGGCTTTTTATTACTTTGACAAGCCATTGACTCATCGTTTTCCAAATACACAAAAAACAAATGTATTGATTCATACTTAGAAAGTCAATACTTTGAGATTCTTTTCCATTCTGAAACACAGTTGCTATATTGTAGGAACAGGGCAATTTTTTTTTTAACTTCTCTTCTTCTGTTTGATTCAGTTAACGTGATCAGCATTTTCCCAGTATAAAATGAGAGTGGGATTATCCCTTCCCTACACTGTGCATCATGCACAAGCCAGTAGAGAAACGAATGGTAGGGAGTGAACCAAGAAGAAAAAAACAGTTTCTATTATGACAAAAAACTGCCCTCTTTATTTAAGAGTCATGATTGGTGACATCTCTTCAACACTCAATCTATTTCTTTTGTGAGATGTAGCATTGTCAACTAATTTGTTCAAGAGTGTGGCTTTATTGCATTCCCATCTTCAGCTGAATTGCACCATGCTTGCATGCTCTGCCTTGATTTGAACCTCCGGCTTTGAGGCTCTTGTTGGCTGCACCTGGGCAGCTTGCCCCTGAGCCCGCCCACCAGAGGAAGCCAGAAGCTCAGAATCTGCCAATCCTGTTTCTCCAGCAGTTTCATTCACCACATCCCTCTCCTTCTGACCTCAGTGTTGAACAGGCGAAATCTATCTCATTCCTGGAAATGACTTGATGGAAAAACACCGTGGGCTGCATGAGAATGCTTGCTCTTCTAACTCTAACCTATTTTCTCCCCTCTTTTTAGTTCCATGGTTTCAGAAAAGAGCACATGCTTTTTGCTCTCTTAATCCCTTTCCCTTAGGAGGGGGAAAATAGATTTTAAAAATCAGGTGAGGATTTGGGATTCCTCAGCATATCCAGAACGTCTGATACAATACCTCTCTTTTATCTTTCAGTCAGTTTGCTCCCAGGAAAGCCTTTTTGTGGAAAACAGGTAAAATGACATTTCTTTTTCATGTCTTTAGCAGAACAAAGTCTGTCATGTGTGTCCTGTGCATCCATAGATATATTCGCACCATATATAAGTGTGTGCTTGAATATATGTATGAAGAAATACATATATCTATGTATATATAGCTATATATGCACACATATGTTATTTAACACATATAAAATATTATTTACTTTAGGAGGAAAGTTCTCTCATTCAAATATAAGTTTAGGCATTTTCTTCATGAGAATCTCACTATCTAGTCTTTCCAAAGTCTTACTCCAGTTCCCTTCACCGATTCAGAAGACATTTGAAGGTTGAGAGGACACAGGCACTTGTAGTCTCATTGGCTCATAGAGTCATCTGCTAAACATGCTTGCATAGTTGACCTGATTGGCCATTACTGGTATCCTTAATTAGATATAGCTGTTACACGAGCGTTTGGATAGGGTTTATATATCAGTCTTCATAAAAGGCTAAGGAGATGAGCCAGTCAGGGTGCGATATAACAACGATGAGAAACACAATTTTCCTCTAATTCCTAAATGTTTCCTTCCCGCTCCCACTACCATGACTCAAATTCGACCTTGCAAATCTGGCTAGACCAGAGGATATACACTGGTACAGATAGGAACTGAAAATACAGGGAATCCAGAGTGGATGAGCCCTACAGGACCAGCAGTGTGAGTGGCAAAACAGGGAGGGTAAAGGGAGAGTGGGTAGGAAAGAGGGAACCAATTACAAGGTACTATATGTGACCTCCTCCCTGGGGGACAGACAACCAAAAGGTGGGTGAAGGGAGACATCGGACAGGGCAAGATATGACAAAATACCAATTTATAGACTATCAAAGGCTCATGAGGGAGGGGGGAGCGCGGAGGGAGGGGAAAAATGAGGACCTGATGTTGGGGGTTTAAGTGGAGAGAGGATGTTTTGAGAATGATGTACAAATGCGCTTTACACAATTGATGTGTGTATGGATTGCGATAACAGTTGTATGAGCCCCTAATAAAATAAAATTTTAAAAAGGCTAATTTACAAACCTTATCTAAACTATTCTGGATTTATCAATGTCCTTGGATAGCAGATTAGCAAGGGAGGTGATTTTTTCCAAATGAGGATTTAAAACTTTGATAAGATCTTGGCCAAAAAAAGTCTAGGAAAAATTAATATTTAACATATCTTTTAAAATACACACTTCTAAATAAGACATAAATGTTAAAATGTCCCAAGGTTTAATTGATGATTTTTAGAAGTAATTAAGGAATTTCACATTAACTGCACTAATCACATTTAGGATCTATCAAAATGGGCAACTTAGATTAGAAATATGGTATTCCGTTAAAAAAGAAAAGTGGCTGTTAATTTTATCTCAGATGTCAGCCTAATAGGTGCTCCTATAAAGCTGATTAAAATAGAGGTTGTTTGATTAAATGTCATTACTTAGAAACAAACTGGGCAATAGAGATGATTAGTTAAAAATAAATTGCATTATTCATATCAACAGTCAAAAATCTTCATGAAACTAATCAACTAAGTAACCTCCCCCGCCCCCCATGACTCTTTTAGAAGAAGTGAAGGAATTAGAAAATTAATTCATAGGAATGAAGGATTCAAAACAACCTACAAAGGCTGCCCTGAAAATTCATTCAGATTCAGATAAATCTTTTCTATTGACAGCGATAGTAAGAATCCATGAGCATGGACATCTTGGAGATGACTCTGAAATATCACAAATGTTTTTATTTACCCAAACGATCTAGTGAGTGTTTACAAGTATCTGGTCAAATATTTCCAAATCAATTTCCTAATCTTCATTTACTTGGGTTTTACATTAAAAACAAAAGCAAACAAAAGAACTACTTAGTGTCTCTTATATCCAAATTGGATTATATTCAACAGTATACTAGTTGGTCACATTTATGTTGTATCTGTGAATATTGATGGACCCAAAGAGCAAACATTTAATTGATTGGCTCTCCTCCCTCTAGAAATCAAAGTATTTCTTGGATAACTTCCCCTGAATGCTAGTATTTCAGTTATGGCCAAGAAAAAGCGAACAGCTTTTATATAATCACCCCACCAGATCGTGACTTAAATTATATGTCTATTATATCGACTACATCAGTGTCTTTTACTCCCTTCTCCTCCTCTACACCCTGTATTTCATTCTTCTACCTCCCTGCTACAGAACCAGTGCCTTAATCATGGGGTAGAAACCTTAATCCTAGAGTAGCGAAAACTATGTAGCATTCATTTATTATGGTAAAATTTAACATCATACAAGTCAATGACATTGTATTGGTGCTGGCTTATGAGAAAGGTGTGCTGAAGTTGAATACGTACCCGTCTAAAATAGGGGCATTCGCTACCTTAGATTTTGCATCATAAAAATCATGTTTTCATTTCCAGTAGGCTCTTGGACGACAGTAACATATGCAATGAGACCTATAAGAGAAGACAGCTCTTTCGGTTGGTATGGTTTTTTTTTTTTTTTAAATGTGTTTTCAGGTTACATGACAGAGTCAATGTTAAATATAAGTATATTCGTGAAAAATATTTTTCTTCATAAAATAAAACTTGTTTGGCTTTTGTAAAGGGTGGCACATAGGTAGTGTGAGGGTCTATTGAATGGTGTGAGAGAGGGCACTGGGAATCCATGTGTTCGAGTACATTTTGTTAGCTAGGATCGCTGTTTAGCCACAAGGGCTAGCTGATTTAATATTTGCAAAATCAATGCATTGGGTGAATGACACTTAGTTAACACTCTGCTGGCAGGTTACAATTGTACGTACCAGTACAGTCCTAACTCTAGAAAATAAGTCAGGGATGCCTATTTGGATGCTTGATGTTAACGCAAACTAGTCACCATCAAATATTTCAACCAGTGTTATTGATTTGTTTTGCTTTGCTTTTTTAAAATGATGACTTGATTTTATTCCTAAAGTAGATATGTGGTTTCTCTGAATTATAATGATGTAGCTAGATTAAAGTCTGTATAGGATAAAAGAACAGGACTTTGTATATATATATATTAAGTTCTGCAGTAGGGTTTGCAATGATGGCAAATATAAACAATGTACTAGATCTCCCCTATGAGTAGCAATGACCACTGCCTTTACAGAAAAACACCCTACTAGCATTTAAAGGAAGTTTGGCTTCCTCCCACAGAGGTGTGAGGTCCACAGGTGCAGGGACAGTTGAAGCTGAGTAATTAGAACAAGGATCATCCCCATGTACATCCTCCTATAGTTGTGCTTCCCTGTATGCTGAGGGTAAAGGCACACCATCTTTTAGCTAACACTTCCCTAAAATAAATATCACAGACTTTCTCTAAATTATCACTTTCCAGGTACATTCAGAGTTGTTAAATAATAATTACATCCATTTAAAAGGGTGAGACATTATATAAAATAAATGATTCATTTATATGAGAGAAAAATAGAGTTGAACCTAGAGATTGAGTGAGTTCCACTCCCATGAGCAGATTATTCTTTCTCCAGCCAGTTTCCCATGAGCTACCTATGGCTTTCTTGAACTACAAAGAAGTTTAAGAACGAGTGAACTAGCCATTAGTGGGTATCTGGTACTTCCTATGCACAGTGTTTTTGTTTTAATGTGAACATTGTACCTAAAACCAGCCTTTGTCAAAGTGCTGAAAACAGAGGGCGTTTCTGGGAAGAAAACTTGCTTGGAGGGCAGCAGGGTACTGAATATTTTTATCCAATGTTTCCCTCAAAAGTGTTCTTTGAGTGGCAATTCCCTGCTCCACCCCCTCCTTCCACCTTCAACACTCCCCAGCACAGGTGAGATATTTCATTAGTATTGGCTTTGGGGGTTATTTATCATCTTTAGTTAACCAGAAGTGAAAGACGTTTAGTACATGAAATACAAATAAAACCTAAAGGTTTCTGGGTCCCTTGTGTCCAGTTCGTTAGTGGGCATGCTTCTAACACCTTGAAAGGCCTTTGTGGACTCGAATAGGTACTGAGCACATCTGTGAGATGCAGATGAAGACGCTGATATAGCACATAATTTACTCCTAGGAAATTAGAAGTGTTTCTATTGCCCATGGTCTGTGTCTCCTTTACATATGAAACCCCTGGTCGTGCAAATGAATTCTGCTTGATTAATAAACCTAACAGTTTGTGGTTGAAACCCTCTCAATAGCACCATGAACGAAAGGCCCAATGGTCCACTTTCATAAAGATTGTAGCCAAGAAACTCTTTGTAGCATCTATACTTTGTAACACACGGGGCCCCCATGACTATGAATTGACTCCATCGTTCCGGGGCTACTTACTTATAATCCATGAAGCACCTGTATTTCCACCTGTGCCCGGGGAGGGGGGGGGCGGACAGTGAAAGTACCAATAAGGTTACTCTTAAAGCATATTAGAAACCAATGAAAATGCAAATTACATCAATCTCCTTTATAAAATGTGTTCAATTTTGCACACTTATTAGCAAAACGCTGGAGCCTTCAAAATTCACTTATGACTTTGGACCTCTTGCAATACGCTCACTCTTTCTGGTTGAATTCTGTGTTTTTTCACCTCTGGGTGATTTTATTCCTCTTAATCCCCTTGGAAAGATGCATGTCAGTTTTGTGTTTACAGTATTGGTTTTGCTGCTATCACAAGCTTTTTCTATGTGAAAGGATAAAAGAGTCTTTCCTCTGTCCCTGAAGGTTAAATTCACTGGCAAAATTCTCACCAGAGGTTAACAGTTAGGGTTTCTGTGCTATCTACCTAAGCTTTGTTGAAGTCAGACAGGGAAATATATATTTAGACATTTCTAGTCATGTCATACACACATATGATAATAAGTAAAAAAGTATTGCTATTAAATTTCTAGTTCCTGCATCGAGGGGTTCATTGTTAAAATAAAACATATTTAAACCTGTCTCTGTAGCTGGCTGTTGACAGCTTCTCTTGGTATTTGGATTTGAGTCCCTTTAAAAAATGTACCATAAAAAAATTGGTTTTTGAACGGATCTGCTAGATCAGTTAAATTAAAGCCAGAGAAATCAGAAGCTTATGGCTTATCTTGTTAATTTTCTCCAAAGACAAGGAGATCATGGGGATGTATAATGAAGTTTTAAGAAAATTGAAACCTGCAGTGGTGAGAAAAATCTCAGGGAAAGTTGGACCAAGAATTTCTTTTTCCATCCCAATAGTGAGTCTGTACCCTCTCTGAGAATAGCCTGGGCTATCCTACAAGAATTTTGTTAGGAAACTGTACCCCATAATTGCTACTCCTGTCCCCTCAGACTCCTTTTTGCTCCCCAATCTCGAAGAACATTTCAAGGGAAGACAATGTTGAACCCCTCGACAATGCCAAAATGACAATTTGGATGTGATTGAAATAAAAGAATTCTTGGGGTAGTTGATAAAATTTATTGTGTGGAGATACACTTCAAAAGTGGGTAGGCCTAGAGGGAAAATACGTCAAGAAACAATAGATTCGCATTTTGTTATTTTTGTCTAATAAAAGTTTCTGTGATTTTGAAGCAACTTTTACAATTAGCCTTTGTACATCTTTAAGCCCTGGTGGCACTGTTTGGAAAGTGTTAGACTGTTAACCACAAGGTCAGTGGTTCAAACCCACCGGTAGAAAAGACTTTCTGCTCCCATAAAAATTGATGGCTGCTGAAGCCCCGTGTAGATTAACTGTGAGTTAGATTGACTCGGTGGCAGTGGGTTTTGTTTTGTGGTGTGTTTTTTTTTAATCCTTATATATTTATCCATGAAACCCTGGCGATGTTCTGTCTGTCGTAAGCGCTGGACAACTAATCACAGGGATCAGGTACAAACCAAACCAGCCGCTCTGCGGGGGAATATGAGGTTGTCTTCTCCTTGGGGGTTTCCAGTGCCTTGGAGACTTCATTGAGGATCATTATGGGCTGGAGCCCACGTGCTGGCAATGTGCTTATATGCTATGATGGCGCCTGTGGGTGGGGCAGCTGGTTGGATGCTGGACTTCTAACTAAAAGGTTGGGTTTTCCCACCCACGCAGAGGTACCTTAGGAGTAAGGTCTAACAGATTGCTCCTGACACTGCTAAACCCCGTAGACTTTACTTCTGCTCTGCACACCTAGGGTCACTATGGGATGGAATAGACTCCGTGACAGGTAACAATAAAGGCACGCCAGGAAGCTGGAAATTCAATTAATGGGTAACTTTTCTCTGACTGAACATATGCGTGTTATAGGGAGCTCAATTATTGAATGCTGCAGGGAAAACTAAAACTCTCCTTCCATGGGAGATGCTTTTATAAACATTCGATACCACTCTTCTTCCCTGACATTCATTCATGGTTCACTTGGCTCAGGAAGACTTACCCTTCTCTCTTTCTCTTGAGAGAAGTTCCCATTTATATGTTATAGCTTTTTCCCCCCTACTTGCTTTTCCTTCACTGGCAGAGAGACCAGCTGACCTTTCTAGGTTGGGTTTTTCTGTTTGTAACCTGGGTGTTTGTGTGGGGGATGTCCTGTCTGCACATCATTGATTTGCTTGGGGCACTGTTGGCAAAGTATAAGAGGTGTCATGGAATGAGTTGCAAGAAGGGGCCAAAATGAAGCCGGCTTGGTACCCAGACTGCTTGTGCAATGTAACACTGTCCCTGTGCGTCTTTCCGGTGGGCATGCTTCAGGGGCAACAGAGACGGCTCAGGAAGAACATCTGGGAGTCGACAGAGCAGCTCGGAGAATGAACTCAGGTGGCCAGACCACCAGAGGGCCTGGAGCAGCACCGACTCGGACAGCTCCAACCGCAATCTGAAACCAGCCATGACCAAGACAGCAAGTTTCGGTGGCATCACCGTGCTGACCAGAGGGGACAGCACATCCAGTACCAGGAGTACCGGGAAGCTGTCCAAAGCAGGTAGTTATGACTAAATGGATTTGTGTCCTGTGCTATCTTCTGGATTTTACCCAAGCCATATAGTCACTGTTCCCTGGGTCTACATGTTGACTAATGATGGTGATATTAATGACAGGGAGACCCGAGAAGTCAAAAGATGGGATTTCAATGCTATCCTTCCCTCCTCCTACTCATGTACCCGAGTTCAGCTCATGCTGTTTCCTTCATTATAAAATGTAGTTTTAGTACAATGTTATTCTAACCCACCTCTGCTTAAATTAGACATTTATGTGAACATGATTGCCCTGACATGGAATGCATGTCAAGTGCTATTTTTTT